GTGTTTTCTAACACCCAGACAATACAGTGTGACATGCCTTTAACATGCAGAGGGATATTTACCAACCCTGTCACAAATTACCATCAGAAGAGCCCCATTTTAAAATCACTGCACACAACTAAGACTATACATTACATAAATAAGCACAGTTCATTAGATGTATATGGAGTACTACTATGTAAGATTTGATGTTCTTTTGAAACGTACTGAAAATGTCTCAAAAGCAACGCAGAACAAAAGAAAGTGTTTCCACTGCTGAACTTGGAAGAATGGTTGAAGAGACACAGCAATTATGTATTCATCATGCAAGACGAAAGTTATACGTGAGGAAATATTAGTATAAAAACAAAAAAAACAGGCCTACTAACTAAGTATTGCTGGCTGCTTCAATCATATGGCACTGGACTGTTACCATGAGCCAATAGATTATTATTATTATTATTATTATAATAAGATAATATTATTATTATCACAGGAAGCTACTGAGTGAAACAATGTAAGACTGTGTCATACGGCTGCTGTAAAGTTACTTTATAATGCTAATAAATTTGTTTAATTTGCTTCAATATTTTTACTGTCACTTAAAGTTTGTCTGGCCTCATTACTGTGCGGACCTGCCTGGAGTCTTTCTCCCTCTGTGTGATTATCTGTATGAATTTCTTTATCTACCTCCCATATTTTGAGGCTCTGAACAGGATCTCCTTAAATTAGATATCACAGGAGCCCCAGCATGCTTTGTTCAGGTGCGGCCCTGTTTAAATAGGCTGAAACTTAAGTTGACAGCTAAGCACCTATAGAAGGGTTGCAGTACTACCTGTACATGTTTTACTGTGAGCAGAAAATATTACCATGTGAACATCTAAGGTGGCACATAAGCAATTAACTCGTTCCACGATTATTTTATCTAATTTATCTTTATATCTAATTTATTCCGTGTTGTCTTACTTGTTGGGTGACTTTGCATCCCTGATAAGTAGAAACAGATATCCGCGGTGCCAGTGGGCCAACAGCTTGTGTCCATCGAAGGCAAAGCATGGCCCTCGTTCATCAGGCTGATACAGGTACACGCATTCATCCCCAGCCACAATGAACTGGGAATCCTGGGAGGGATCTGCCAGGGAGGAGCAGTGCAACGCACAGCCGTGTGTATCCAGCTCTACCTTAGGGTATTCTTTGATGGATAGGGTGTAGCACTGAGCAAGGGGAGACAAGAAGAAAGGGGACAGGAAATCAGAGTGGTAGCCCCTAGATTAAAAATCATTTAAAAACCTAATAACGTCATAATTGTACACTATGTTCATCTTCAGGTTGGGAAAATTCTGTACAGTTGCAGCAAGAAATATAGTAAGCAGGGCATGTTTCACAGTAAGAGTAGCCATTCCTGTTGTAGTTTTAGGATATGGGATCCAAAGCTAGACTCAATCGCTGAACACCTAAAGCTTTAAAAACTCTTTTCAATTCTAACCCCACTAACCAATAATATAATGCAGTATTCCTGTAAAGTTGTATAAAGGTCAGCTGTGTAGCACTGAGCATGGGGAGACAAGAAGAGAGTGGACAGGAAATCAGAGTGGCCCCTAGATTAAAAAATATATTCAAAAAACTCATAACGTCATAACTGTACAGTATGTTCATCTTCAGGTTGAGAAAATTCTACCGTTATTAAGTTTAATATAAAACTTTCTGGTTTAAGCATGACAAATGATGGTTAAGCTGAATTTTCTGATAATGACCAGACTTACATGGACTTTTTCCAGAGTGGCAACAAACAGATTTGTGACTTTTGCCACTTGGCGGAAAGCGAGGCCTGTGACTGGGCTGGTTCCCTCGTGCAGAGTCAGAGTTTTACTGTGACGATCTCTGGTGATGTCACCTTTGGTCAAAACTACACTGCCATCTGTGAAGCCTGTCAAGAAACACAGCGTCCATTACAAACTGGGAAGAGATTTATTGTGTTAGCCATAATGTAATTACTGGGTCAAGGGGTAGAGCGCAGACCCTATCTTTGTATTACCAATGGCCATGAAGTTGAGGTTCTCATGTACACCGAGGCAAGACACTTCAGTTGGTTTGTTGCCAGGAATTGCGGGAAAAATCCTAGTGCAGAGAGGATTTCCACTGTCTCTCTTGTCAAGGTTCCACACCTTTACCTGAAAAATGAGAAGCAGTTCGATGTAGTAGTGGTCCATTAAAGTCACTGACACAATTGTTCTGTGTTTTAGGCTTCTCTGGGGAACATACTTACTAGAGGGTTTATTCCCTGTTCATCCTGCCCCACTGATACAAGGATGCTGTGCTGCTTCAGCTGGTAGAGGTGTGTTACCCGCAACTTGTAGGCCTGAAAGAATGTAAACTGTAGGGAGCGTGTCAAAAGCCAGACCTTGCCTTCCATATGTAACATTATGGAGGTTAAGGACAATTCTGTACAGTTGCAGCAAGAAATATAGTAAACAGGGAATGTTTTGCAGCAAGAGTTGCCATTCCTGTTGTCTGTCAATCTCTGAACACTTAAAGCTTTAAAAAATCTTTTCAATTCTAACCCCACTAACCAATTATACAACGCAGTATTTCTGTAAAGTGGTGTTGTATAAAGGTCAGCTGTGTTTGTGTGCTTCAAATACACAAGAGCTACGCATGCATGCTGGATTGTGTGAAGAGGGAACATGTCCTGTTCGTTGGGCTGTAGATAAACTTGAAACTTCCTGTAAATTTTCACTTTTATACAAATCTCATACACTGGCGTATTTCGTCATTTACTGTTAGCTTGTTTGTCAGGTAGTGATACCGCCACACAATAACTGAAACCTTGGACATGTCAAAAACCACTGGAAAATCCAGCATACAGACGACCCAAAAACGCAGAATATTATTTCGATAAAATGTCCACATTTAAACTGGATCTTGCGTTTGCCTGCCTGTAAGGTGGTAAGTTAAAGTTAGCTGAGTTAACGTTCCTCAGCAGGTGGAGGACTGTAGGGTTGTCGTTTAGCTTATTGCTGTTCAGCGTTTGCTGGTTCTTTGCGAACAGTAAGTCCACACTTAATTTGAATATTTTAAAGAGAATTTGGTTTGACGTTGGTGTAAATACATCTTATTACTTCAATTTACGGTTAAGGTAAAGTTAAAGTTCTTCCTGTCTCAGGTACCAAGTTGCCTCGGTTTGTTTTCACATTTGCTGAGTCGGGGCTAGCACCAGCTGCCAACACAGAATAACATTAGCTGAGCTAGCTAATTAGTGCAGTTAAAGGATATCTCCCAGAACAATATGACCTCGGCCGGAGTCACAAGCCGAAATTCCGCTCGGCAGAACAAAATTTTTCCCATTATCCACAGGGTCCTTCACCGTATCTTTATCAAAGAAGACAAATTTTCTCCACTGTAAGAACGCTGCCATTTTGTTAGCAAAGTAGCTTTAACAGGGTGGGGTCATGTGACTCTGAAGTCACGTGAGCAAACCGGCTTCGTGTGTAGGGTGACCAGATAAGAATGGCTGAAATTAGGGGGGGGGGACATGGCTACCGGTACATTCATGAAGTCACCTGTCTGTTATTAGGAAAAATACAACTGTGGATATGTAGGTAAATCATGACCTTTTACCTAATTTTTATATTTATTTTATTCATGTAATCAGTGCAGTGTCAGATCTCCGCCGTGCCGTGGCTGCCTGAAGCTACACTTTCCCTGTCCTCGCGACTGTAAATTCCACTAACCACAAGAAAACAACAAGGGGAAAAGAGCACGACGACGAGTGTTACTTTGTGGCTATAACAACGCTGTTGACACAATGTACAGATAACCTGCAACCCCTGCAGGAGCAAGAGAACTATACAACGATCAGTGGATGTTTAATTAGACCCGTAAAGGGGTTGGGACAAGTGCTCGTATATGGCAAGGATTATTCGGGACGTCTGGTCACTCTATTCGTGAGGCTGAATGAAGGGGGCTGATACAGAGCACCTGTGAAGCACGTGTTTATGGCGAGCCATTCGAAGACTTAATTATTAGTTAAAAGTAGTAACTATTCCATTCGTTATTATAATATCTAATTGCACATTTTTGCCACTTAATCCAGGGCCTCTGCAGTTCAGATATCAGCGATTCATTAGTTACTAGTAACTATTCCAAAAAATACTAACATTTACATTCCAACTAGTACATTTTTTGTTACTAGTCATTAATGACTAGTAAAATGGCTTGTTGATAGTGACATTTTAATTCTTACTAGTAAGAGTGGAATAGTTACTTGTAATTAATAGAATAGTTCCTAGTAACAATAATAAGCACTAGCATGTAAATAATAGATACTAATAAAATGGAAATGGTTACTGGGAACTATTTGAATAGTAGAGCCCCGTGGATTTCAATGGCAAAAATGTGCTATTGGTTACTAGTGACTAAAATAGTCACTAGTAACTAATACATAAGTACTAGAAGCTTATAAATAGCAACTAGTAAGTTTTAAGGAATAAATGTTAAAAACAGCTTGCCTTGTGTGTTTATTGTCGAAGTTCAGTCTCTCAGCACTTATTTTCATAATTTAAAAATACAACATAATACAAGTGCTTTTTAAAAGGACTTTGTGTTGACTTATGGTTTTACATTGGCTGCAACTTATTCTTCAATGTGATTTTACCAATAAACGTCAGATCAGAGCCAGGTGTCACATACTAATAAAACTGAGTGAAACAAACTGTTCAGACATGTATAAGTGGAACACTTTAAATGTCCATGGTAAGATTTCTTAATAAATACACAATGACTTCTGGTTGTGTATATATTATGAAACATTCTGTTAACATATAAAATATTAATAAGTAATATTAATAATAAACTGTGGAAGCTTTGTTCTACCATTTGAGGACTCGACTACACTACAAAATAGCCCTAGGAGGAAATAATGACCCATGTCTGGTCCAACTGCAGGTGCTAATTACCGTTCAATGAAAGAAACAATGTATTTAACAAATCAGCATAAAGAAAAAAATATTTTCACACAGACGTACAGATAATAGATGTTATTTTAATAGGTGTTCAAGAAGTAATAGTTGCGTCAGCAGAAAGTGTAAAAGGAATAATAGTTGCATCAGCAAACAGTGTTATGACATAAGAGTTATGGGTGGGGTGGGGAGGTGGGTGGCTGGGGGATCCCTCACTAAGCAGGGGTTCCTGTAAGGCATGGCTGCATTTAACAACTGGGCTGTAACAATCAAAAGAACATCTCTGCCATGAGGATCACCAAGAACATAAATTCTTCTTCACAAAAAAACAAAACAAAGAGAAGCCATGATCTACATTCCAGTAAAGGGTAGATAATCTTATACATGTTCATGTATAAATGGATGCATATTCAGTTGTATATTTTATTGTTTTTATTCAGCTAAACCTATAAAAAGGAACAGTAATAAATATGTTGAAACTCAAGCATTCAATTGTTCTATCTGATTGCAGGAGCGTCCCTGTTTTATAAACTGTCCTGAACAGACTTTAACTTTTACTGCAAGGAAAAAGAAAAAGTAGCAAACCAGGGAAAGCTATTGTTCTACCATTCAAAATGCAAGAATCTCTCAGTTATCAGTCTCATGGATGGTCACATGGTACATTAAGTCCTGCAGACTTAAAACCCCCACACATTTTCATTGAGTTTGCAGCGCAGCAGCTATCCTGTCATGAGAACCGATGGTTGTAACAAACTATGCACCTAAGGAACAGTATACCATCATAGCATACATACAGTACAATCAAGACTGAATTAGAAAAATACAGGTACAAAATGATTACATTCAAGAAGACAGTACTAGCACAAAGGGTATAATAGTCATTTAGGTAACTAATATAGGAATTTCAACTTTATAGAAGCATTTTCTAGATAGAAAAAGTGAGGGGATGGGGCAATGACATTATTATGGCTGTTTGGTAGATGTGTGGATTTGTTATTGACTGGATTCTCACATAAATAATAGTTAAAATGCATAATTTCCACAGAGTGGGTACAAATTCTATATTTTCTTCAAAGACCATGATCATTTTGGTTTGGGTCATAAGGTGCAAATACTGTATATTAAAAGAGGCATTGAGTGGTGCCCTTTTGTTGCACTTCATTCAAACTCTGGGCTTAAACACTAAGGAAATCCCATTAGGTACACAGGATGAATTGTGCTGATATTGTTACCTGAAGATTTACATACCGAGAGTGCAACTGTTATGCTAGCTTTCTTTTTTTTTTCCATTTTTACACAGGATTTTCATTTGACTATACCTTTCCCTTTTCTTTGGCAAATGTCATTAAACTCACTTGCTATATGCAAATATATCTCTATTTTGGGGGAAGACAATTTCTTTGTCTTTGCAAAGAACTACACTGACCCTGCCACCAGTGGAAGAACTATACAGTTTACTGCTTGGATGATATCATCCTTAATGTAGCTTTCTCATATCTGAAAAAATATATATACCATTTATTATTAGGATTATCCTAAAGCATACTGTGGTTCCCTTAAACTTAACTTGGAAACATCTGCAGTTAGTTTGTTAGATTTTAAGGACAAATTTAGAGGAATTATTGATTTTTTGCATATGTTGCACTAATTGCACATAAGGGCCTACATAAGCAAAACATTATTACCACGTAACAATGCCTTGATTTTGGAAAAACACTATTTCAAGATGCATCCATTCTTCAAGACCCATTCATTTCTTGTTTGTCTGTCCTGTCATTATGTGTCTGAAAGCGCTCTGAACACATCTTAACACATCTCCAAGAAATGGTGTTGCAGTTGCAGTCAATTACACACCTCCAGAGGTTAAAAGCCAAGCTCATTGTCTAGAGACGGTGCATTTTATCTCAGTGCTAGTTTTCTAAGCAGGTAAGCATAGATGCATTCGTCATCTATGAGCTTGATCTTTTTTGACAACATTCTTAATCCAGTAAACTTGACTTCAGGAAAAACCATTGATCATAAAAGGACCTAGTTAAAACAGCATTATAAATGCACACACTTTAACAGAAGAATGGTCAAACAGAAAACAAAGAGATATAAAAGTTATAAATGTGATTTCATCTAAAATGTGATAAATTAAGTATTGGTCTACACAGAGGAACAAAGGTTGCTAGGAAGGAGGTGGGGTATTGTGGGGGGAGTCTCTGTAGCTCTCAGTTAACCTCTATTAGCCTGTGGCAGCTTTTCTATGTTCCACAAACCCTCGGGAAGACCACAAACCTGCAGCTTAACTGCATCTGTCCTTACTTTTCCTCACTACTACTATAGCTGATGAACTGTAAACAAAAGTGTGGCAGACAAAGGCATGGAAATGGAATGATTCTGACTAAACATTAAAGCAAAAAAACAAAAAACATTAAAACAAAGCCAAAAATAAAGAACACAAAGTTGCATCTAAATATAAATACTTCTAAAAATCAAAACATTGATTACATGTGACCTCTGAGTAGACCATTACAATGCAATAAAATCTCAAAAGGCCAATAGGAAACAAATGGGGAAATTATTATCAAATGCCTTGTCTCCATTAGCTCTGAGTGGAACCATAGCATAGTGCGGTCCGATTTCAACACATCAAACTTTTGTTTCTCTAGGAAATCAGAAACAGCGATTTTATTTCTGTATTGTTTTTTTTCCCAAATATCTCATTTTATGATTGGATTAACAAATTCCTGATCTTTTACACTAGAGCTTGCAGCTGGCTTTAGCCATGTCCCGAGGACACTGAAGACACTATTGAGAGGCTATGGTGTAAGAACACTGATCGGTGGAGACAAGGCATTTTATCACTCTTCCAAGAGCAACTCAAATATCAGCTACAAATTAGTGCAGTGTTTACGTAATAAAACAAAATAAAACACCTATTCCAATAAAATAAGTTTGCACACAAGGAATTAACCTTTCTAATTGCTACGCAAACTGCAATAAGATCAAGTATTGACAAAAACTGCATTTCACTATCCAAAAATGTTTACACTGACTTTAGGACTGTGATGGCATTGAGCAACAAGCTGGTTTAGGGCTTTGTGGTGGCAAAGCGGGTCTGGGTGGAAAGGGTTAAGGCTATAATTGAATCACTTTCATACAATCTCTCCATCACAAGAAGCAGTTTTTCAGCCAACCTACTGTCATTAGCCTGACAGGGACAATGAACCTACTCCTTAAGGATAAACCAGACAAACAAACCCTCAGCTATAGTCAACTCCAGTTCAGGTGCCAGTGTACGCACAGGTCTATACTTACACATTCAGTCTAACATGATTATTTGTAGCTACCACATACTGTTTTACAGTAGCATCATCTTAACTTACATATCAAATACTCAACCATGATTTCTTCGCAGTTTGAGTACACCGTATTAGTGTACCACAGGGAAACACTGAGCAAGTAGTTGGTAATGGGAGTCTATCCATCATGATCATTTACCCTGGTTAAAGCCATTTTGGGTTGAAGCTGGAAGGAATGAAGGGATAAGAGCTATTAAATACAGAGGTATTCTACCACAGGTGGAGGGAACTCTTCAGTAGGCATGTGTGTGAGGTAAAAAGGTAACAGAAAGCTGTGTTCGTCTATAAAACGAATGCAGTGTTGGGTTTTTCCCTACCTAAAATGCTATTTTTAAATCGCAAGACTTGACCTTAAAAATGGCCTCTATTTGACAAAACAGTATACAATAACCCATGACAACCATCTCTATAAGGGAAGCCATGCACTGGGAGACAGCTTGGTTCTTCCACAGGCCCTAACAGGGCATCTAAGGGGGGTGAGAGGAGTTCAGAAAGGCATCCTCCCTCAAACCAACAGAAGGCTTCTGGGGAAAACACTGAGATAGCGAGGAGCGGTGAGGAGGAGGAGGGTCCTGTCCCCATGAACCCGAGCTCAAGCAAATTCACCACAAAGGGAAGGTGGAGTCTGTCCAAAGCTTCCTGATCAAGTCTCCCTACAGCATGGGGTTACCACTGAGGACAGTAAAGCTCCACTGCCAATGTCCATGTTGTGGCCTCTCATAACAGCAGTAGAGTTCACTGATCAGCACAGGAGATGAGGACCGGAGTCTGGTTAAGATCTTTTTTCTGACTCTCAGCCAAGCCTCTCTGGCCTCTGAAACAGACATCAAACGAGACTTAAGAATGTTTCACACAAATAACAAGTGTCTTTTTCAAATGACAGCATATATGGAACAAAGCTTTGCTTTAAAGTGCTGTGCCTGCTGTCTTTTTCGTCAGAGTTGAGGTGCAGAGTGTTCATTTAATTTGAGAACGGTGCTAATTTATAGTGGATTACTTGATGAGAACTGACACAACATGGTTTCCGTATTCTTCTTCTAAACCTCACTTACTTTTGTCTGTGAGATTTTGCTAAAGGTGTTACAGTAATCACATAGGTGTAGTGCAAGTGCGAAGAAAACCAGACTGTCAATCTGCTTGTAGGAGTGCGTCCTGCATCATGCCCATTTTATTGGATGAGGCAGATATTTTTAGTGTCACTAAAATTTTTTAAAAATATTTCTACAGCCTATAACATCTAGTGGTTGCATAAGTCCATCCATCCATCCATCCATCCATCGTCAACCGCTTATCCTGCATACAGGGTTGCGGGGGGTTGTATAAATCATTTAACATAATTGTGAATGGGCACATAAAGGGGTTTACAAGCACACATTGCGTGTTATGACCTGTTGTGTAGAGGCTAGGCTGCTTGTGTACCTGTGAACGTTTTCCATGGCTGCTACTTCAGCGAGGGCTGCCAAGCTGAAGAAAGCAGGTAGCTCTTGCGGTGTGGTGCTCCTCTCTGCCTCCTCATCTCTGGGATTACTGTAGCACCCTTTTTCATTGCATAAATTCGGTTGGGGTAATGGCTTCTTATCCTGTTCCTGGTTCAGGTCCCTAGTTTTGTCCTCTGTTACAAAAAAGAAAAAGAAAATTCTCAGGAAAACTATTACAAATGACATTAGCAGATCATTAAGGTCCCAGTACGAAACATGAGGACACCATTGTAATGTAAGGAATTATTCTTTTTTATTCATTTTTGCCATCTAAAAGTGCTTGAAAACTTTGCACACATGTCAGAATTGGCGAAAATGTACATCTCATATGGGTCTCGAGCATGGCAAATGCTCCCCCTATAAAATTTCAATGAAGCGAAATGGAGGTGAAACATAGCACGGGGGATCCATGCTATGTTTCACCTCGATGTATATGTTATGTCAGAAATTTGTGTCCTCTTACATTGAATCTTTTATGCATGATCTTTTAATATTATCATTATTATTACTATTATTGTTATAGATATGCATTGTGTTTTTATCCTTAACCTTTCCTCTCCTATACTCCTTATGTTGGTCTGTCCACATTTACTAGGGTTTAGTTCAGAGCTGTGAGATTGTTTTGGTGTTTTCCTCTCTTGTCGTTCCTCTCCTCTCATTGAATGTTCATTCAAGGCTGAGATAGGATCTCTGTTCCCCAAAACATAGAAACCTAGACAGTGTAAATGATAATTCATCCCTTTGCTCGGGGCCAGACGCCCGAATCCGCCCTAGGCGGCAGGTCTCTGGACCAGCTGTATATGTGTTTTAGTACTTCTCTGTTTATTCTCTTTTGTTATATAAATTCTTCAAAGACAACAGTTGGTTGTTACTCAATTCTTTGCTCAACCCCTCACCAGGAATATAATTTCCATGACAGTATACACTTTGTGGCACATGTATCATCCAATGACAGACAAAAAAATATTCTAAACCCAACAGGAAGTCAGCCCTTTTGATTTCAAAGTGCAATTTTAGACCATTTTCACAATTTACAGGCTCTGTACTTTAAAGTTTCAGTGTGTAATATTTAGGAAGATCTACTGACGGAAATGCAATATAATATCCATCGCTATGTTTTGAGTGGTCTATAAAAACCTTACATAATGAACCGTTAGAATGAGCAATTTCTATCTACATACACCGCGGGTCCCCTTACATGGAAGTTACCATGTTGCGACGTATAGTTATAATACTGTATAACTATATATAACTAGTGGGTAGGGGACACGCACGTGACGTTTAACTCCTTTGTGAGGCGTCCAATACGCGTGATAATCAAAGGCCATGTCTACCAACCTTCAGCAATTGGGCCGCGGTGCGACCCGACGAAGCGAGGGCCTGTTCATCACCGCTTGCAGCTTTAATTTTATTTGTATTTCTTTTTCAGATCTATGAAACAGGAACTTAATACTTTCACTTAAAACATTTTGATACATCAGTGTCTGCCATGCTAGGAAAAGTCACTACTTTTTTTTAACTTGTTCTATTTAGTATCTATTTACTTTATTAAGTATTAAATGTGACTTTCAGAGTTCTGTCACTTGCCTCCCATCCAAAGCAAAAACATATATGTCAAGTATAAGTACAAATTTACACATAACTTTGTATTGACCAATGTCAACTTCACATGCAGCTTTATTTTGAATATGTCACTTTTTATGATGGCTTGAAGTAATCTTTTTAGCTTTAAAAAAACTTTTTTTTTTTTTTTTAAATACAGCTCATAAAGGAAGAGTGAACTGGTAAAGAAATAAAAAAAAAAAACATTTAAAAGAATAGTATCCAACAACTGATCATAAATTCAATGAGACAAATTATAACAAGAAACAAGTTATTCTAGTTCTATTTAAAGTATTTATAATTTTAACATACAATGGTATGTTCTGGCTAAAACATGGGACTCTTTATGGACAAGAGACAGAGCTGGTTTCTAACCCAACACTTACTGATCAATTGCTCAATCATTCATCACTCACCCTCGACTGGAGACACACTGCCATCAGCGGTGCGCACCAAGTGTGTGATCTTGGTCTTCCTAGCCTTCCTCTTTTGGCTACCAACTAGCATCTCCATACTAGTGTTGCCCTGGACATCTGGGCACAATATGGCAATGGGGGCACATGATTTGGCTTTTGAAGCTGAATCCAGCAAGGTGGAATCACTCTGTACCACTGTTGTGGAGAAAAGATCAGAACAGATTTCAATCATTTGACCTTTGCACATAGGCAGTAATTAAAATTCAGTCCTCTTATTAAGGAGGTAAGTTACAAAGACAACAGCTCTTTATTAATTTGTTCAGTATCATTGTGATTAACCAGATAAAAGTGTATTGCAAATTCTTCATGAATATTTCTTATGAATATATCCATGTCTTCATAATATAAATGGTGCAAGATGGAAAATTACAGTACATAGTACATACATCTTTAAATCTCAACAAAGACTCTTCTTCTGGGTAGCTAAGCCTGGTTTACTACAGATAATTGCCCCTTTGGGGCTTTGAAGGTAAATTCTATAATTCAAGTTGTTTTTTTCACCAAAGGGGATTTAAAGCAATAAAGTAGATATTCAAACAGAAATGTGGTACTGGGTAACTGTTAGAGGACTATGTTGTATACCTCTGAAAATGTTCATATCCCTGCTTTAAAATGCACAAACATCAACATTCTAGTTCACCTTTGTCCACTGCACCTGGTTTGTCCTTTTTGTGTTTGTGCTTCCTAACAATCTTGTGGAATGAAGTCTTTTTCTGAGATGGAGATGGCCCTGATATAGCAAAAAAACAAAGAAAAAAAGAGCATGGAAATGCTATGTTATGGAGTCCAAATGTTTTTGTTTTAACACAGAGAGATCCTGAACAGCAGAAGTGTGGAAAACATGATTCTACAAACAGGTGCAGAGTGGACCATGGATGAGATGAAGGGATATTAAAGAACAGTCATTGTGTTAATTAAGTAGAGAAATTTCTGATTTTGTTCTTACCTTTTCCAGCTTTGGAGACTTCCCCTTGGACAGTGGTGCTGTCCATCTTTTTCTTTTTTGCGACAGCAGCCCCCTTCTTATCAAATGTCATTGGGCTATACTGTGGCAAGCTGTTAAACTTCCTTTCAAACTCCTCCTCCAGTTTCCCTAGGCTGACAAGTGAAGTTAAATGTTTAAATAGGTGAGAATATAATCAACAGCCTAATCTAACCTTAAAAACAAAGCAGATGCTAAGCAATCTTTTAAGTACATTTCTCTACAGCAATTGGTAAAGTGTCTTGGTGTAGACCTACAGCAAGAGCATCAAAACTACTTTCCTTCTCACTAAAGTGATACGCATACTCCAAATGTGTGTGGCATAGTTTCCATATTACCATTTAATATGACGTATTAACGGAAAATATGATTAAACTCCTTATAATCCAAAGCTTTTTTGTAAAAGTGTCAGTACCGGTGTAAAAGTTTTGGACAAAAAAAGATTTTGTACACAAGGCTATTCTGCAGGAAACTCATTCATCACCAGCAGGCTTGTCAAGTTGTTCATCACGAGTGGACTAAATTTTGTTATCAGGTTAGCAATTTATTGTTTATTTTGTTACTTCTGCTACTGAGAGGATGAAACTCAACCAAAAACACAACTCTTTACATAAAAACTAAAATAAATCATTATTCAAGTCACTTAAATAAAATGTGACTTAAATTACTAGATTATTGGTAGTGTAATTATAATGGAATGTGACATGTGCACAGACATGTTCAATCTGGCTGGAATTCAAAATCACTGACCAGTCCATGTAATATTACAGTGCATTTATAGTACATTTTAATCTGGGTGTTATTCTAAATTGTGACTATGGTCTGACTATGGGAGAAACTAATAATAATAACAATGGCTCAGACTCAGAAACCGTTTAAGATGGTTTCTGTAGTAAGCTGCAATACATTGCGCCCAGGCCACACCGCCTAACTCTACCTGTGCTGGACGGCTACCTCGCTGAACTGCTGCGGCTCTCCTGCTGTCGTGTCCACACAGACAGCACTGCTGCAGCCCTGTCTTTCTACACTGAGTTACAAGTGTTACAATAAACTGATGTTGGTTGGGTTAAGAATTAGTAACAGATTTAAGTGGATGTACAAACAATATAAATTGTCAGATATTTCAAATTTTCCAAAGCGTGTTTAACACAAGGCAGACAGAAAACATGAAAATAAGAACCAAAGCAAAGACATTCTATCATTACCCTGGAAAATTATTGTACTATAAGCTAAGAGGAGACAAGACTCACCCCTGTGAAGATTCATCTTTGGACTTGGACTTTTTCAGCTTCTTGGGGTTATTAGGTCCCATCTGAGAAACTGTCCAGCTGTCATCACTCCAGTTTGCATCGTGATCAGAAGCCCGGAAAGCGCCTCTTTTACCTGCAGATCATTCGTTAATATGCATTACATACCTAACATATAGACTGGATTTTGCCCGCTACGTTTATTAAATCACTTTGATCTTGAATTAAAATGGATACCTCTGTCAATATTGGCTCTCAGTGAAGTCAGCATTCCCTCTGAAACAAGGGTTTTATACAAAGCACCTTTACAGCTCCGCTCTGACTTCCTGGCGCCGCGGCTCTCTGTGCTGGACTCACAGGTCCCTTCACTCGACCTCTCCTTCCCCTCCTCTTTCAGTTTAGCAGGCGAGGGGCTGCAGGGTGAGTGATAGGGTTGTGCCATGCTGCCCTGAAGGTCTATGCTTCCTAGATTTGCTTCTTCTGCCTCCATCTTGGAATTAATGTCAGTCATCTCGTCCTTCATCTCCACCTCACAGGAACTGTGCTGCCCACTCTGTCCACTGTCATCCTCCGTCTCCTCCTCCTTTTCTTTGACAAAGGTCTTGACTTTGGGCTTGCTCTTTTTTTTGGGCACACCAGAGTTTCCACCACTAGAACTGCTCTGGATCTTCTTCTTGGACTTCTCCTCTGTGTCCTTCCAGGCTCCTTTGGCCACTGCCTCAATCGTGCTGAAGACACTGTCCACATTTGATTCAGCCTGGTTACATTTCTTGATGACCTTCTTTGCCGAGCAAATTATCTCATCGTTATCATTTGACTTTGTCACCTCTTTTTTCTTGCTCTTGTTTTTGACACGTGCATTTTGGCTGCTGAGTTGTGGGGGAATGGCATCAGTGGAGGTAGAAGTGACAGAGGAGAGCAAAGGTAAGTGGGCAGATGTGCAAGAGGAGGGACGACAGTCATCCGTGTCTGCTTTCTCCTCCTTGATCTCTGACTTGACTGCAGTTTGCTGGAGAGAGGCTGTAGCAGAGCTGTCCTCAGGCTGAGATACGACAGTGTCCATCTTTCCAGCTTCAGATGCTAGGCACATCTTAGCAAATACAACAAAACAAACTCAATGTTAAACAAATTAATATAAAATTACAAAGAATCTATGCTCCAAATAATACATCTCTACATTTAATTTCAAGACCTTACATAATAAACCACTATGTTTTATTACCTTAGAATGAGAGATTTCTAGCTACATAACCGCGGTTCCCCCTTCCATGAACGTTGCTATGTTGTGCTGCCATGTTTCTAAGTAGCCCAAAATATACAAATAGAGCTACAGAGCGTGTTTCACCACTACATTCTTCTTCTTGTAGAATTCTGGCAGTGTAGACACTCATCACTACGTTGAATACATACGTTCGAAGAAAGAGTAATGATATACAGCAGGTATCGGCAAATAAGTTTTGCATCGGAGAAAATTTTTCAACCACTAGATGGTGAGTGAGAATATAAGGCATAATATTTGACAGCATTTCGTGTTAGGTTAGCACAGTTGGTATTTTTTTTCCCCTCTCTTCAACAAATTGATTGTGCAGAGACTGTTTCTCATCTTCACATTACAGCATGTGCTGCAGTTTTTGTGTTCCAGTGTTGGATCCGCATCCATCAACCTACGGACACTTAATCTCCCCAGTATCTCCAGGCAGAGGACATTTAGGGGAATCACGTTTTCTGACGGCTCTATCAAAGGTGTGTCAAGCAGGCTACAGACTTTAATGTCGTAAAGTAAAAGTTCTTAATTCAACTCGCACATTTATTTTGCAGGCAAAACCACTAAAAAGGAAGTGATTATGCGAGTAACTGTTGCTGTCATGACAGAGATCTATTTCAGCACTGCAATCAAAGAATTTATTTATTTATATTTTTTGCCGCCATCAAAAGCACCATAATCTGACCGTGGGCCAGATATTATCTCCCTTATGACCCCTCCCCCCACCGTTACTCAGCCTGCCTATATATATATATACATATATATATATATACACATATATATATATATATACACATATATATACATACACACACACATACATACATATATACACATATATACATACACACACACGTTACTGTTTCATTTATTTATTTTATTTAAATTTTTAATATTTCTTCTTAACACAAACACACACACACACACACACATATGCTTTGATTACTTGTTTAATGAAATGTATGGGGTTGATTGTTCTTATGTTGTATATATGATGCTTTGGCAATGTTGTTACACATTCATGCCAATAAAGCTAATATTAATAGAAAGAAAGAAAGAAAGTAACTCAGGGCTTGTCAGCAACTACTGAATTGTCCCTAACAAAATTGTAATCAAAACATTAAATGTAAATGTTGCCCATCAGTTTCTAGTCAATGTATTTGCTACACAAACAGTTAACAGTCCACCGCAAAGTAGCGACAAAATAACAGGACACACTGAGCACGACACAGACACCTGTCGCTCTCGTTACTGTCTCTGTCCTCCTCACTCAGAGACACTTTGGTCTGTTTGACTGTCTCACTACTCCAGGATCTTTCCCTCTGAAGTCGCTGTGAGCTGAACTTTCTCAGAGCTGAAGTTTACATTTGTGTGGATGAGAGATTTATGTCTGATCACAAGTCTTTTCGGTTTCAGTTTTCGACCGCTGATGAAAAGCAGTGAGTTTGCCTCTTCGAGTACAGTCCCAGACGGGCTTCGTGCAATAACGCAGTGTAACGCACAGCAGAGGGGCAGGTTGATTTTGTTTAAATATAATGACTTCATTCTCATTAGATTTCAATTTTTGTCTCAAAATATTATTCTGCAAATGTCAGAGAACACAGATATATGGAAGAGATTGTTAAGGAAAGTTCTGAATATGCACAGAAAACATGCTGAGCTGGAGGAGCTGTTAAAGTCTAGGAGTTTATATCTGAATTACAAGTAATACATTTGTCAGTGAAAATATATCACATGCACATTTAAAGACTTTACTTCAACATGTGTTGTTGCAAAGTTGATCTACAGGAGAATCTGACAGCAATACATAATGCCTGAACGCCTTACAGCATTATATTACACTATACATTTATATATTTTGAATTGTCACCTGGCATCTGAATTTTGTGTTTCCTTTTATATAAATAGACATTTCCTCAATAAATTGGTGCAGAAAAATTCACCAGAATACAGGAAATGTTAAAAGCACATATTTTTCAGGGAGAGGACCCCAAACCCACCCCCCATTAATATTATCAGTGATAATTATAATCAGTAGTAATTATTACATTATTATAATCATAATTAACAAAAGTATTTGCTGGCTATGATATTTATTAATTAAAATGTAGCTCAATGATTTATAGGTAAAGTAAGTATAAAGATAGAGTTGCTGTGCGTTTTTTTGTGTGTCAATACAAGTAGAGGTCATTTACTGTTGTTTTATAGACTTACATTTGGTAGGCGGCTGCAGGGGGCGGGGGAACAGGTGAAAACATGAAAGATTTCTGGGCTGGGCTACATATATCGTTATTGGGATATAAAATGACATATATCAGGATATGAATTTTTTGTCATATCGCACAGCCCTACTATCATGTCAATATAGACCAAAGTCTCTGAGGAATGTTTCCAAACCTTGTTGAAAGTATGCCACGAAGAATTAAGGCAGTTCTGAAGGCAAAAGGGGGTCCAACCCGGTATTTGCAAGGTGTACCTAATAAAGTGGCTAGTGAGTGTATAAAGCTGCAATGTGTTACTTGGGATGAATTGTGTGCAAACTGGCAAATGCCTTACCTCAGCAAGCTGGAAGAGAGCGGACTGTCTGCACGGTTTTCCTTCAGGTGCCGCAGGGAGAGATGACTGTGTACATACAGTAACATGCTTTGTCACCTGTTGTGTTCTTTATAACATCACACTGCTTAGCTTCTGCAGAGACTATTATTATTCAGCAGAATTTACTTTCTACAACAAATTTCACCATGTTTATTGTAATAAAAAAAGAAAGATTACACCTACGGCCTGTGCCACAAAGCAAGTTCAATTTAGTCTGGCTCTCTTTGGGTTACCTAGATTCAACATTGGTGACTCTGGAAAAACGGTATCATGAAGCTGGTTATCAACTGGCTCGGTAAACTCTTTTTTTGTTTTCCAGTCAGGCTATGAGCACGTAAAAATGTAGGGGAGTAGTAAATACAAATGACATCATCAGAATCATAAATTTCCTCAGTACTTAAGAGATGAAACTGTGACACCTGGTGGAAAATGCGGTTATAGCAACAGTAAAAACTGCTGGTGAAACGTAAACAACATATTCACATAAGGCTCAGGCCAAGTGTGGGTATTATTAAACATGCCTTGAATGTGTTTTATGCATTGAGTATTTTTGCTTTTTTGTCAGATGAGGAACAAACAATTGACGATACATTACATTAAAAGTAATGTAATACTGTTTCGGTTGCTAAAGCAGAGAGGAGAGACCAAAGGTTGTTAATGCATGAAACGGCCATCCGACTGAAATGCTGTATTTATAATCATGGGAGCTAATTAACAGTGTATTATCTTACAGTTATCATCACTAAGGCTACGTTCACTCTGCAGGTCTTAATGCTCAATTCTGATTTATTGCCTGTTGACTGACTTCACATTATTTTTTAAATGTAGCCCATGTCAGGGCTAATATTAATATGACGTCACATGCAGCAGGCTGTTCTTCGAAGTAAAAATAAAGGCCACAGAGGTTCTTTGGTTTTATTTATGGTTCCGATACGATCCTCATATTTAGCTTGTACAGAAGTGTCACCTTACTGTCCCTCCACTGACCACCTCGATTGCTGCCGTCCTCTATGTTTCTGTTCACAGCGGCGCCTGCTAGCACAGAATTGTGACCACCATCGCTCTAGAGTGACGTCAGAGACACATGAATTCTGATCTGACTGTCCAGACTGAGGTCACATTTCAAAAACTCCGACATGTATCTGATTTGGACCACATATGAAAGTCTCCCAGATTTCCAACTAGAGAAGATCAGATTCCATGACATTTGGGTTGTTCACGCAGTTATAAAAAAACATGAACATTTGAGTCACATATGAGCAAAGAAATCTGATTTGGGTCACTTTGGCCTGCAGTCTGAACGCAGCCAAAGTCAACTCACGCTATTCTGAGCTGTAGTGATAAAATAAGAGTCAGGAATCCTGTCCTATCCTGAAGAGCAAAGCAGTTCAACTGACCTATCAAATTAATATATATCGCTCTGTATTACTTATTAATTTATTGTAAACTCTTGTCAGAATCCGGTAGGAATGACGACTCAATTTTCCCAGTGATCTGATGGGTCAGTAGTCAGGCTGTTGAACTTCTGAATTGAACCTGCTCAATAGCAAGTTAATCGTGCAGCAAAGGTTCCAATAGTGAGCTACCGTGTTTAAAAATTAGCCCGCTTTGTGAGAACAGAAAACTGAGTTAACCCGAAAGATAGCTGGATAATTTACTAATGTGACTTAGTGGTACAGGCCCCGAGTGTTGTTGTCTTGTAGATTATGTGATACCTTGTGGGCAATACAGACTTTTTGGCCTGAGGGGGAACCTAAAATATCCAAGCAGATCATTTTCTTGCCATTTATTACATAGACAGTGATGGTTTTGGTTTGTATTAAAAGTAATGATTGAATAAAGTCAATATTGCACATTCACTGGAGGAGCTCACATTGGATGTCGAGCTCACCCAAATATAATGCAGTGGTTTTTAATTAAATGTGATGCTACGACATGCCAAAATGTGAAAAAGGTGTATGTGGCAACAACTGTATGATTTATGCATATTAATAATACTGTCATAACCCAAAATGACTAGAAAGGTTGTAGATATAGTCTTGGAATATAAATAACTCTCTCCTGAGCATTCATCACTTATGAACTGAAATTCAGTCATACCTCTGCCAGCGGGGAAAGGGCAGACTTGACCCTGCTTTCAGTATTGTCAGGCACTCTGTTCGGTATTGTCCCAGACAACATCTGTAGATTGAAAAAGTAAGCAAAAAGTAATTAGTTCTGCTGCAAATGATTACATAACAAATCAGTGTTACAGTGGGTTAAGCCAATCACCGTTCAAATCATCAATTGAGAAAAGCACACAAGAATAATAGTTCTGAAATTACCAAAATTAAAAGCACTCATTATATAGACCAACCCATTTCAAAATGACATTTATGATATAAGATTCTAATTATCGATGTGTTAACATGCAAGCATAATTTTAATAATGCAGCTAGTAAAGGTGGGATTCTTGTGTACTGCTTAATCTACAGTAATACATCATCATTTATTTGTTTCTTATAAATAACAAAGTAACTACTAACTATAGCTGTCAGATAAGTGGAGGTGATATAAAAAGTACAATATTTGCCTTGACATGTTGTGGAGTAGAAGTAGAAGGTAACATAAAACGGAAATACTCAAGTACAATGAAAATTGTACTTAAGTACAGTGCCTGAGTAAATGTACTTACTTACTTTCCACCACTGTCTACTGCATGGGACCATGTGCCAGACGAGGTATAATGTTGTTTGTTAATGGTGATGCACTGGAGGTCTTAATAGATTCATTTTTAACTTTTAAGCACATATCTCTGTGTAGTCAGTTACCTGTTTTAAGTAGATAACACAACCTGAAGGTCTAAAATGTACATACATATACATACATACATACATACATACACCCACCCACACCCACACCCCCACAGACACACACACTTTCTCCCTGTAAATATATTATTAGGAAGGAGAGAAATGTGGTCTCTGAACGCACCTCTTCCTCATCCCCTGGAAAGGAGTTCCCTTCGCTGGCTGTGTCAGGTAAACTAGGTTTAGTGCAGGAAGGGATCTAAAGAGGCAACAATACTGAGGTTAGTTGGTAAAAAAATAATAATTCAAAAGCATACTGTAAAAAACTTGAAACTAAACAAAGTACCAAACATCAGTACTTTCTTTGAGGCCACCTTTTGGAGAGCTGGTGCATCACATGGATGCACCCATTGGTGGCCTCCCACCGCGACCTACCTCTCTGTTTGTGAGGGCATGTTCCCCAGCTAACAGCAGCATGCTAAGGCCTCCCATCTTTGTAGGATCTGACAAAGAATGAGAGCAGTTACAAAAAGAGTCTTACATTTTTTCATCTTGTCACTGAACAAGCTTGTATTATACACACCTGCCATGGCAAAGTTTAACTGTGGCACGCTGTCAGTTTTGGGCACTTTTTTGGCAGTGGTGGAGTCCTTGGACGAGTTGGAAGAGAAGGGCCAAACTTTTTTGCGGGGGTTGCTGACTGGCTGACAGGGAGGGCTCTTAACTGGTTTGCTGGTGGTGGGACACCACTTGTAGCCCGGGTTTGCCTTCATAAAGGCATCTTTGTACTGAAACAACATCCACAATTGATTTGGTTACAAGCAAAACCTTAAAGCCTCTGGTTTCAAATCAAACCTACAGAGTACTGTGACATTCAGTGTTTCCCACATATATTTACTAGGCAGGCCACCCAGGTATATTTGGTGACCAAGTTTAGCATTTTGCATAGTAACACAGAGAGAGATGTTATTATGTTACAAGACGTCGATATCTTACAAGCTTGGACCAGGTAAAGCCACAGCGAACACACCAGTGCAGATGTCATTCACCACGTTGGTTTCAATCGTTTTGATAGGCTACGTCATTAACAAGCCTACTCCATGTGAGGCACACCTGCTGCTCTGAAAACAAATTGCAGGTGGAAAAATTCTAAAGGGGAATTCTGTGTCTTTTCGGCCACTTTCTAAAACATACTAATGATGGAGAAAGTCAGAGCAGACACATACAGGATGGGAAATAATGTAACGGCACAAAGCAAATGTGGAGCAATCTGTTTATACTAGCCTATAGGAGGGCTGCAGAATTAATCTAAACGCAATGTTGTCATGTGCGATTACATAACTGCAAAAAGTGTGTGATTTAATAAAACAGTACAAGTCTTCTGTGTGTGCGCTGCAGCCTGCTAATTATCTCCTCCCACACCGGGCTCTTGCATGTGCCCCAACAGATAAGCCTACGTACAATGAGAAAAATGATTTATGAGCAGTGTGCGAGTAACTTTTAGGACAACAGCCTACCATAACGCCCTCCCCACCCCGCTGCTAATCGTTCAAAACATAGCCTGACTCGCCACCGGAGCACCGAGAGAAATGCCGGTGCTGCGGTCGCTCTGTGACAGAGAGACGTCGTCCGCAACTGAAGCGGTAAGACAAAAGAAGACTGGGAGAACTTGAGGAAGGTTTTGGGTTTGGCTCGCTGCCATTTAACGTTAGCAGTATCGATGGCTTTTGTTGTTCAACATGTTCAACTTCAAACTATTGACAAGTTAGTACAAATTAGAGACCAATGTACCTTCTTCCTGCACAAGAATTTAATAAAAATAACCCTCAGAAATGAAACTGGAGCTGTAACTGGATTTAATATTCAACTAGTGGTAAAAAAGTATACTATTATTTGAAATTATAATGAATGTAGTATTTAATATATTATTGTTATACTAGCAGTATACTATTAACTAAACATTATACTCTTTATTTAATACACTCATGTACACTCTGCATTAGACAGATACATTGAGCCGGTGCCAGGATGCCAATATTTGCTCTTGACATTTCGCAAGACAATTTTTTGTGGGCAGCATCTCTATCTGTGTGTGTGTGTGTGTTTTCCGCAAAACTCATTTGTGGAAGAAAGTGAGAGCCAATCAAAAGCAGAGGAGGGGCGCTGGATTTATACTCCTATAGTGACTTGACCTATGTCGTTGGCAACACACGTACCCTTGCATTTCGTACGTTGGTGTGTGTGTCGCTCTGCAGTTACACCGCAAAACACGTTAGTTGGCAGTGGAGATTCTATGTTCCACTTTGTTGACTTCTGCCTGTGAGCTAGCTAACTTTTGGTTTAGCCCTCCACTAACTTGAATGTGGGTAAAATAATAATTATGATTTTCCAAATGTTATTGAATGAATGGATCAAATTCTGAATCCTGAGGGTTATGATGGGTTGTGATGCTCTAAAGAAAGTATCCACCGTTTTACCGCTCTTGTTTGGCCGCTAGTAAAACTGGCTTCAAAGCACATTGCACTTCCAGGGAGCACGAAGGAAATGATGCTACCACGCCGACCTATCACAGAATTTTCAGTTTGTCAGCACTATTTTTTCCTTTTTTTTTTTTTTACAATGGCAGCCATTTTTGTTTGTGTTGTGATAAAGACCTGTATGTGTTCTTGTTTGCAGTCATTTTTACATAACTATCAGTGTGTATGGGAATTTACAGAATTTACTGTTATGGCGCTGAAGGTGCTGTGAAAAATGTGGGTTCACCTAAATTTAGTGGCAGTGCACCTAAATGAAAAATTTAGGCGCAACTGTGCATCCAATGCAAGTAGTTAGTCTGGAGCCCTGGACTGAGAAATAGGTTTCCAGGGCCTTTAAAATCTGTTGTTTAAGTTGATTATTCTTCTGCTTTGGCTTTTATTTGCTACTTATGTGACATTAAGCTGGAATAGTACTTTTATTTACACTAGTAAAGTGCTACATGACAATCCAGGAGCTTGTCACCAACAAAGTTGCACCAACTGAAAGAATTATAATGTACCAAATTGAAACATTACTACTGTAAGACATAATAGTACAGATGCCAGAGTCAAAGCGCAGTCCCACCTCCTTGGCCATGTCAGTGTACTTCTGCTTCTCCTTGGGCTCTAGCACAGCCCACCAGTCAGCCAGGATCTTCGTTGCCCCACGGTTGTCCAGGCGAGGGTGTTCCTGCCGCACCAGGGAACGGTGGCGTTTGCAGAAGAGTAGGAAGGCATTCATTGGCCGCCGTGCCCGCTGTTCATTCGAGTCCTCCTCCACTTCCTCCGTTGTGCTTCCACACTGCATCTGCGAGCCCTGGTCCTGAACACACAGCGGTGGCTGCTGATGACAAATTCATTAACCGTTAGCTGCGGTGGTGCACCATGTTTTCCGTGATCTGTTGTTCAGTTCACAGACACAGGTTACCATCAAACACACTCACCTTCTCCAGCTCCTCTTCATCCTCTTCTTCCTCCTCCTCAGAGAAATCCAGAGCCTTCTTGGAGAGGAGGGGGTGCCACTGCAGGCATTTGCGTTTGGGGCGCTTGCCAGTGACCTCCCCTGCAACAGGTGGCTCCTTACCCCTTCCTCCACCCTTCATGGTACTACCGCACCTAAGAAACAGCAGATTGGGCACACCTTAAGACCATCCAAGGCTATTATTAGTTATGTTATCAAATGGAAGCAAAGCTACACTGAATAGTGTAAGGTAATGTGCATGACCTGGCCAGAACATTTTATGTCTTAAAGCAGCTTTGCAAAATCTGATATAAATGTTAGTAATCACATTTTGACTGCAAAAAACTTTTGCTGTGACCGTTAAAAACCGAATTTCTGAACCCTGTCCAGTGATTTCCCCACAGAGTTGTGATATTTGCTGTTTTGTCTAATAGCTAGGGAGCATTCCTTAATTATAGTTCATGAATGATGAACACCTAGTGTCCGACAGGTGGTTGCACTAATGGTAACGTGACCATGTCCACTGACGTGTCATTCCTTGGCAGACCAAGTAACCACGGCTTCATCTCATAGTAAATAGTGGAAATTAACCAACAGTAACATAAAATTGTCTGAGAAGGAGCAGGAAGTTAAAAACTGAAATGTTAATCCGTAGCTAACATAGAGAGGTGGAAATCTGATTGTACTTTGAATTTTTATGTCCTCATTAATTAAATGGTGGGGAATGTATCTTGTACTTAAACTCATTCTTAGTAAGAGTACAGTGGGTTGCCTGCTAATCGGAAGATCAGAAGTTCAATTTGCGGCTCCTACAGGCTCCATGTGTAAGTGTCCTTGGGAAAGATACTGAACCCTGAATTGCCCCCAATGGCTGTTCATCAGTGTATGAATGTGTATTAATGTTAGTTTCTGTTTGAGCACTTAGGTAATATTATAAATATGTGTGAATACGATGTAGTGTAACAGCACTTTGAGTGGTCAAAACACTACAAAGATACAAATACAGAGCATTTACATTTAATCATTTTGGAATTCTCCGGAAGCCCATATTTCAAAAACATCTTAATAAATATTAACAATTCTGATACTGAGATGCGGATCTGTAATAAATTCACTTTAAATGTCCTTTTCACACACGCTTATCAAAAGTAAGTTAAGTGAGTTGAGCTTTTGAATTACTGGTTTCCAGAATTAGTGAAAGAAATTCAGAACACTGAAATGGGGGCTGATCTCGGTCTCTCAGAAGCAGCTGAAGGCATTAGAAAATGGCTTGATTTAAAGCTAAAAGTCTCTTTAATCTGAGCTGCAGCTTCTGTCTATATTTGGTTTATTGTAACATGAGTAAGGGAGCAAGTAGGGCTTGGCAATAAAACAATAATGATAATTTTCCTCAATATCAATATAATAAAGTTCAATATATCGTCAATGAATAATTGCTTTAATTAATTTGAATCACAAACAAATTTGCACTTAATTTTCTATAAAAATATTTATTTTGTTAAAAATATAAAGATAATATATTTATAAAAATATATATATATATATATATATATATATATATATATATATATATATATATATATATATAATAATAAAAAATAATTGTTTTAATGTTCTACCTCAGATTTGTGAAGCGATCCACTGTTTGGCATCAAGTGTTCCACTCTGACCATAAAGAAAAGTTTAACCACATAATTAACCATCTGGTTTCTTCAATTTTCACTCAGGAGCAAAAATCTGCCTTTAAACTTGAAAGAAAGAATGATTTGACATATATCGTGATAATTATTGATATCGAACAATATGAAATGTTTTTTTTGTGACAACATTTCTGGCCGTATTGGCCAGCCCTAGCAGCAAGTGAGGAAGCTGAATTATGCCCCCATTGACCAATGAGAAGAAGTGATACCAATGAGTGCTCTTATTATAAAGCAGCTCCCGGAAGTGTCACTGAAGTCACCAGGATTTGGGACATTTAGCACTTTATTGGAGGATCTGTTGGAAATATTTCCGAGTAAAACAGTTACGGACTATGCAGTCACACAGAGCTGCTGGCGCTTAGTGCAGTATACATGTAGCCTATACAATTCCACACTAATGTCATAAATTGTAGAAAACAGAATGGAGTAATTACAATTATCAGAGCGCTACAGTAGAAATGAGGTTTCATCTTAAAATAGGCCAGTGTAATTTATAAAACTCAGCTGCTGTTTTTCTGCTATATTTTGAGAGGACAAAACTGCTGCAACACAACAAAGCAGTGATCATTTTGGGGTTAAAGTAAAAAGTTTAAATCAAAATAGCTAAGCGAAGGATCGTGGCTGTAAGTGTCCCCAAGGTTAAGGCTTGCATATATATATTTTATATATTTAAAATGTTTGTCACTGCATATGAACCTCAACAGATATAAATGAAAAAAGTAGGTCTATATGAAAGATGAGAAAGGCCAACATAACTTAAAAGTGTTGGGGGTTTTTTCCACATATGATATCAGCTTACAGATCTATTTCCAAAAAAGTTGGCAGGCTGTGTAAAATGTAAATAGGAATAAAATGTGATGTTTAAAACATTTAAACCCCATTTTTAATTGAAAATAGCACAAAGAAATCTTATCAAATGTTTAAACTGAAAATTGATTGTTTTAGGAAAATTTTAGGCCCATTTGTTGTATTTTAGGTTTTATAACGCACCAAACATTTTCAGTGGGTAACAAGTTGGGACTGCAGGCAGGTTTAGCACCCGGACTCTTACTACAGAGCCATGCTGCGGGAATACGTGCAGAATGTGGTTCAACATTGTCTTGCTGAAATAAACAAGGCCGTCCCTGGAAAAGATGTCGTCTACTTGGCAGTATATACACATTACTCCAAAACCTGTACATATTGTTCAGCATTAATGGTGCCTTCACAAATGTGCAGGTTACCCATGTCGTGCACTAATGCACGCCCACACCATCACAGAAGCTGGCTTTTACACTGTGCACTGAGAACCAGTCGGATGGTCCCTCTGCTCTTCAGCCTGGAGGATGCAGCATTCATGATTTCAAAACTTTGCATAGTGAAGTTTCTACTTGCATTTGTGGATACAGCGACGATTTTTGCAGTCTATGCAGTACTGTGTGGGGGCCCAAAGGTTGAGGCCATCCAGTATTGGTTTAAGCCTTGTCCCTTGTGTACAGAGATTTCTTCTGATTCTCTGAATCTTCTAATGAAATGATGTACTGTAGACAATGAAATCTGCAGATTCTTTGTAATGTTCCATTGAGAAACATTATTTTTAAATTCTAGTCTATCACAGAGCGCTGAGCCCCTCTCTATCTTAACTTCAAAAAAAAAAAACATTGGGATGGTCTTTTTGTTACTAACCTGTTGCCAGCTGACCTAATTATTTATGAGATGCTCCACCAGGTGTTTTCTTTTAACATTTAACAACTTTTCCAGTCTTTTGTTGCTCCAGTCCCAACTTTTTTGAAACCTGTTGCTGGCATCAAATTCAAAATTGACATTTCATTCTCAAACAACAATAAAATTAAACTAGTATAAACATTTGACAAGTTGTCTTTGTGCTATTTTCAATTAAATATGGGGTTTCAATGTTTCACATTCACATTCTGTATCTCTTTTCATTTTACACAGCGTGACAACTTTTTTGGAAATAGGGTTGTACATTGATATATCAAAAATGTATCAGTTCTGAAAATTCAAGCCATCTAAAGTTCTAAAGTAGTTCAGGATTACAACATTGTATTTGGGGCTGCTGGTTTTCAGATGACACCACTGAGCAGGAAACGGAGATACTTTGAGTGACATCACTGACAGGTGGCACCCAAGCGGAGACGAGAATCCGATGCTTAAGTCCCTGAAACCTGCATTCTATTGAACGGCCAGCAGGGGGCGACTCTTCTGGTGGCAAAAGAAGTGCGGCTCCATTAGAAATAAGTAAACACTTTCATAATGAGTTTGTGGTCTCAATCGCTAGTTTCAGGTCTTCTTCATACAACATGATTGACAAGTTGTTACCATGGCAACATGTCAATCAGGCTAGAGGCGACTTGTACCCATGGCACTGTGTAAATTTAACCAGCACCGTTGAAAAAGCTTATTAGCAGTCGGCTGTTCACTTTGTCTGGTGAGTACATTTAGTTTTAAGACTGTTCGCTCGACGTTCTCTAGACAAAGTTATCAGCCCTGTTAAAATGACAGTTAACCTGAACTACAGATGCACCTAGCTAAGCAAGCTAGCTAGCTCCACACACGGCCGTTAGCTCCACCGTCTCGTCCAAATATGGTCACGTCCGGTGCCGCTGGTTGCAAAAACTCATCATGGCGGCGCCCTATCGGCCAAACTCGACGCTTCAAAGCGGCAGTCCACAAACCAACAGGTGATGTCACCATGACTACGTCCACTTCTTATATACAATCTATGGTGGCACCACTGTAACTTTTTTAAATAGTCACTGGGGGACTTAAAAGTCCTGTACCAACCATGGGCAGTGGAATTGGTCACTATTCAGAGCATGCTTTCCACACTGAGAATTCAGACTCTCAAATAAACTGATGACAAGAGAATGTATTGCACTCACCAGCAGGTAGAGAGTGGCCCAGCCCACATCTTTGTTTTTGTTCTGGTCGTAAGAAAATCATTTGTTCCTTCCTTTTAGCACTATTTGAATTCAGAGCAAAGTATACAACCTCCTTACACACAGGTCCAAGATGTGAAAAACTGTCAAGTGACCCAACGACAGGGAAGAAACCCTCACATGACTAATGATTTGAATCTGACAAAAAGAGTATGGAGAAAATAGGCTTCCTCAAGCTGTTGCGGTTGACCAGTGGGCAACAAGCAGTCACAGGTTACTGGTCATACAAGAGCTGCACAAGATCATTAACGGACTCTGTGCTGTCTTAGAGCTTTCCTTGGCAGGTCTGTGTTGTAAAAAAAGATAACAGGACCAAAGTCATGACAGAAAGTGGTCAGTTAGCCAAAGACCTCGAAAAACTCCTGCAGGCAATCAATTAAAAAGCTATGTAAAGTGTTTTAGAAGTGAAATATTTCCTTGATTCTGACATGTTACCATGTTTATGATGAAAGGGTTACATAAACAATTTGGAGAATTGAAGACATAATCAGACATCATGGAGGCACCACAGTACAGTAACTAGGTTTGCTGTATGGACAGTGTGTCTTTGACCCTTGTACCCCTAAGTGTCTCCTAATGGACTGAAGCTTATTCTGCTGCTGTACTCATTTTAGTCATTCAGCAGAACAATGTCAAAATGTAAATAAGTCAAATAAATAACTCTTTCCCCCTGTATTCACCTCTGTCTCTAACAAAACCAACAGAGGGTTGTATCAGAAACATGCACCTATCACAGCTATGTTCTTTCACTGTTAGCTGCAGTTCCACACATACAGCTGAATTACTTAACATTGATATTAAGCATCTCTGTTTAATTTCCTTTACTGATTTTTTTCCTCAACACTTGTTCTGGATGTCTCCTAAACATGACACAAATGAAATTAGCAACCAAGAATGAATGACTGAATGGCTGCCTTCTTCTGGACATCATCGAGACCAGATTCCAGTGTTTGTATGTATAGATGTGGAGTGGAAAACAGGGATACTTACTGAAGAAAAAACTATGGAAATGCTGGATGAGTGATGAAGATGAATCTGCCACAGCCTTTGTCATGCAATGACGATGACCTATAAAATACAAGACACCGCTCTCAGTCATGCGTTACACTGTCATCTCTGCAACAATTTTCCAACAACAGGAGCTCGGCTGCAGGGCACATGTGCGCAAAGCAACTTTAATCGATCATTAGTGAGTGACACTACATAGCACAAGACATCCTCAGCTTCAAAGTACGGTGGGACATTTTGTCTGATCTGATTACCGATCACTTCAATCGTGCAGTCGATCCGCCCTTGTGGCCAAAAGCAAAACATGTAGGCCAAAACCCTGAGACCACTGGATGCATTGCATACCACGTTATACAGCTTAAATTAAGCAGGCACAGTTGCAGTTGGTATTTTGCTGCGTAGAGGTTTAGTTGTGTTCCCAGGTAAACCGCTGATGCCCGATCGGACTGCCTGTTTTGGGAGTGAAGTCTTGCGCTAACGTTACTGGATCTGGCTTCACACGCACAATAACAGCACAAAATGTGTGAGCTATGCCAATAAAAGACCCGTTTGCCTACCTAATGTGCTCCTACCTCTAAGCATACATTTTCATCTCCGTGCAAAATGTCGAGCCGAGCTCTGACAAGACAGACAAGCCGAATGAGAGTCCATCTTGCTTCGGTTTGGAGGAGAAACCCCAAGTACAGTACAGTAGTGGGGATATTTCACTCCTGTCAAACTCTCCGATGACAATGTCGTCGAAATGTCTCCCACTCCGAGGTCAAAAACCCACAATGATTAATTAAACTGGGGATTTTCTGTGCAGGCACATGCATCTGTGGGCAATGTTTTGCTGAGCAGGAACTGTTAGCTCCATTTTCTAGCAGTGTTACTAGGAATAAAAGTAGCTAGTTAGCTTGCTAGCGCTACAGCCTGCTAACTAGACGTATTACGGTTTTAAAAATGCAACGGTTTCCAAAACAGTATAAGCTTCTTGAACAGCTGCTGACAAAACTCACAGATTTAGCTGTGGGCAAAATACTTGTCTGTGCTGTTGCAACTGTTCGTTTCCATACAACGCAGGTTTGTCACTGTGTATTTGATGCGGATAGGAAGAGGGGGGGCAAGTCATACCACCTCACTGAGAAACAGTTGCTTTGCCATTTTACACGGCGATTTCAAACAGGAGTGAAGACATATTTAAGCAACACAGTAACAGTGACAACAATGCTTGGTCTATAACACTAGTTATCAATGAAATGTCGATAGGAAACAAACAAATTCAAAGAGAAAAGCCGGCGGACATCATGTCCAAAGCAGCGATAATTACAATTTTTCAGTGACTGACTGAGAGGTTGACAAAATAGCGACCGCGTTTTAACGAAAAATCAATAAAACCACAAGTTCTCTGTCATGAACGTCTCCTCAATGTCTAAACCAACCTCTAATATCCTGCTCAGGTATCGGGGGGGGCCTCTCATCATTGGTGCCGTCCACCTTATTAACTTATTGACACATCATAACAGTTCAGCACTAGCTGTACTAAACACAGCCGCGTCAAGTCCACCCAAATGACACCCGCGCAAACCGGATACAGCGATTTCGCACCAAAATAAAAGCAATTAAAGCGACGAATCTCTTCTATTAAGCTACCAATGTTCAGGAAAACTTGAGCCCAACAAATGAGTATGACTGGATTCTGTCTACATAGCAGATATTCCTTCAAGTCGTGCAAACATTGGCCTATTATTGTAAGTCAGTGTTGTTCAGCTTTGATATAATGGTTATTATACATTCATTAGTACATACAGTACATGATGTGTCTCTCAATACAACATTGTCTCAGGACCTCTCACCAAAATCTATTTTAAAAGAGCATTTTTCAAAAGCAAAAGTTGTTTTGAAGTAAGCCTGGTGTTGGAAATATTTAGGCAAGTTAAAGGCCAGTGTAATATATAATATGTGTAGTACCTTTCAACAACAAGGTAATTCAAAGTGCTTTACTTAAGACATTTGAGCCATTATGACAAGATATTAAAAAATACATAGGACAATAAAAAAAACACACAAAAAAACACATGTAAGTAGGATTTTAAAAGAGTAAAATAAAATACATAATAAAAAGATTCTAAAATCGAATAAGATTAGGGATGAGGATCGATACCCAGTTCTAAATGGACCCGGTTCCAAAATTTCTTAAAATCCGAATATGAATAAGGTCCGAGTTGATCAATATTGCTATCAAGACCTATATTATAGGTCCTATAATAAAACGTTACGTCTCGAGCATCTAATTTAAGTTGAAACGCTGGACGATGGATAAGAAAACAAATGTTTTTATTGATGGCACCGAAACGCGGTATTCAGCTCACTCTGCTGCTCTCTGTCGGCTACATACAGACACACAGCGGCCAGCAGAGACGCCGCTCGCTCGCGGTGGAGGCGGTGAAGTTAAGTTAGCTCCCAACTACTCGATTTGCCGACAGCTACGCTCATTACTGTAAGTACGTGCAAGTAAGAAGACAATACTTCATCAATACACCTGTGCGTAGGGTAAACATGTAGAAAGGGTTAATTTAATCATCTCTGTCCTCAGTCTGTCATCCTGTATGTTTTATACAAGCACAGCTAACGTTAGAATGTTAGAAACAAGCTAAAAGAAAGCTGTGTGTCTGCCCCATACACTGGTCTCTGTAGGCACACTGTTAAAAACTCAGCTGCTCCTTTGACCAGGTAACGTTACCTGCAGGCAGTGAATAACAGGAAGAGGAGGGACTGATACAGGCTGATGGCTGAGTTTTTCTTCTTTCTAAACACATACTGAGTTTGTTTGCTGTTGTAAACATTAATGTTGTTGTATTTATCTAATCCTATAATTAATTTAAAAACAACCAGGCAGCTAATATGCACACTTCAATATCTGTTTATTTATCCCAAGTCATAATATCTAACGATGAATATTTTCCTCATACAGTGCAGGCCTACCTCATGCCCCTTTGGTCTGGTATCAATATCAATAAAAATGAATGATCCCCATCCTGAAAGAATATATTTAGGATATTAATAGTGTGTAGCAACTATGGAATTGTCAAAATCAGGTTTACTGCCAAGTTGATTTTCACATATAAGGAATTTGCCTGTGTATATTGCTGCTTAATAATGACAACAGTAAGTAGAAAATATAAAGAAAGAAGAAAGCAGTGGTATAATTAACTTATAAGGGACCCTGGACAAAAGGTTGCTATTAAGCCCTGATGTATTGCCTCCATGTTGAGACTACATGAAGGACTAAACATGATAGCTTCATTATATTCCAGTGACTGGAGACCAGAGACCAGTACTATGTTGCTGGAAGAATACTACCTGGTCTGCATTGTACCATTGTCCAAATTTGCAATTAGTAGTTATCTTCCTATTTGTTTCAAGTCTCTTCTGAACTGTGTTGCATGTATATCACATTTACTTCTGGGCCGACAAACCACATAGTATTAAAATAGAGACAAAAACCTGCAGTTGAATGTCGATATATGGTATGTGCTGACTGGCCCATAGTGTTTGGTTACTGGGACTTGAGAGTTTATGTATTGCTCATTTTACCTATTTTCTTGGTGCAGATTGAAATTGTTGTTAATCGTTTTTAAATACAATCATTACTGAAATGGCCTGTAGAGTGTTTTTGCCCTCTAGTGGTTGATTTTGGGTATAGGCAGTATCGTTCTATTCCATGTGTCTAGCCCAAGCACGAAGCTGCCGGTCAGCGATCTGATGCGAACACCGGAGTGAAACCTGCATTCTATTGAACGGCCAGCAGGGGGCGACTCTTCTGGTTGCAAAAGGAAGTCCGGCTCCGTTAGAAATAATGATAAAATGACTCTACTTCTGACCTGAATAATAACCTCAGTAAACACTTTAATAATGAGTTTGTGGTCTCAATCGCTAGTTTCAGGTCTTCTTCAATACAACTTGATGTTCATTTAGTACATTATGCTCCCATTTAGAGGAAAATAGACCATAAAGCAGAGTGTGCTTCAGGGCGGGATTATCTATGATTGACAAGTCGTTACCATGACGACATGTCAGTCAGGCTAGAGGCGACTTGTACCCATGGCACTGTGTAAATTTAACCAGCGCTGTTGAAAAAGCTTATTATTAGCAGTCGGATGAATTATGAATTACAGATGCACCTAGCTAAGCAAGCTAGCTAGCTCCGCACACGGCCGTTAGCTCCACCGTCTCGTCCAAATATGGTCACGTCCGGTGCCGCTGGTTGCAAAAACTCAACATGGCGGCGCCCTATCGGCCAAACTCGACGCTTCAAAGCGGCAGTCCACAAACCAACAGGTGACGTCACCATGACTACGTCCACTTCTATTATATAGTCTATGGTCTAGCCTGGCTACAGCACATTGGTGGGTCCAAATTCTATTGCATCAGTGATCTGTTAACATTTAAATCACAGATGCATGGAGAAAGTCACCACAGCAGACACATGCAGGGAGAGAGAGACAGAAGGAGGCGGGGTTAGCCAGGTGTGTTTGCAGTAAGAGACCAGGGGCGAGTTCAGCGCTGAAAAAACCTTTTCAATACGAAAAAGTTGCAAACCGGTGCAAAACGTTTTGAGATTGAACTCGCCCCATAGGTGGAGATATGTGCGTTTAAAGTAAGGTGAGCAAATTCCAGTAGTAACTAAACACTAAAATAAGGTGGAGAATGAAGTAGAATTAAAATGATGAAATAAGAAATAACCATAACGTAAAACTTCAATTAAAAGCCTAGTCCCGATTAGATGCCTTTTCCTTTTATTTATCTAGTGTGGCTACACATTTTGACAAATAAACACAGGTCTCAGTTAGAAGTTCTTTGGCTGTATAAAACCTCTTCAATCCCACCGGCTCGTCCGTTTGAGCTAGTTCTAAGCTGCTTAACCTTTGGCTTTCATCCTTTCTAAGGTAAGCAACTGATATTTTGATATAGGTCTCTCTCTCTCTCTCTCTCTCTCTCTCTCTCTCTCTCTCTCTCTCTCTGGGCATGAGGTCGGCCTAGATCATACCAGTCAACCCTGCCTTTGTTTTTTTTCGGGATTCTCCTGTATTTTACCACTCTCTCCCGCTGTCCTACAGTTTAAATATTTTCCTGTGAATCTCCATTATTTTTAATCTTTCAAAAAAGAAAACCCGCAGACGTATTTGATATGTTTGCTACCTACCCCTCCAGGATAGCAGGTGGCAGTATGTAGAACATTAGCTGTAAAATCTAGTGACAGGAAGTCATTCACTCAAACATCACCTACCAATAAAACAAGAAGAAGGTTGAAGAATAAGAACAACAGCATGAGGATTCAACGACAGATGAATGTGAGAGGGACCTGCCAAAAAGGCTATAATTTTATGGCTAAAAGTATCTCACCAAATGGGAGGAGGCTTACCCGTACTTCCTAATCACCCTCTTCTACCAAGTGCCTCACTTAACCAGTAACCTCGCAGAATTACAATTTAAGCACAATGTGTAAGTGATGTCTATATATCCTCATTCAAGTTATACATACTGTAAATAAACCTGTAAGTTTCACTTTTCACTTTCACATTTCACTTTCAACCAGGTATCACATTCACATCCAACTAACTGTAGTCACTTAGGCTACTTAATGTAGGAATTAGTTGACCCAATTATTGTTGATTACTGATATTTTAAAGCATGTGGTTGCCTAGTGGTGATTTTAGGATTCACTGTGTGTACCCTTGTCTAAATGTAAAATGACAATTTTCAAATCCTAATGTTGACAAGTATGGCCTGGTCGCGACTCTCTCTGACCTCGATCAAATTAATGACTCGTAATTGATATGTTATTCTATAGCCTAATTTTTATTAAGTAAGTAATATTCACACTGGTTTAAATACAGATTTTGCTGAGCAAGAGTTTTGAGGGAAAGTAACTAAAGGCCTGTTCCAAACATAGGCCAGGTGAGTCCTGTGATTGAAGCAAATAAAATCCGGGGCTTTTCGTTGAAGTTGTAAGGTATCTGACCTCTAGAGTATAGTTGTACTAGTTGTACTATGCCTGTGCTATATGTTTCCTATTGAAACTGTTGCACATGTTTATACTGTATATATTTTACATCTACCTCCAACTGTTTATTGTACTTACTACTCCTATACATATGTATATAACTTATTGCACCGCTTTTTACACTTCTGGTTAAAGGCTAAACTGCATTTAGTTGTCGCAGTACTTGTACTCTGTGCAATGACAATAAAATGTATCGTACTCTAATTTAATCCATCTTAAATTCAAATCGATACTTTTATTTTCATAATGTCAACCGGAAGTCATCTTTCTTATTCCGTCTACTTTGACAGTCGTACAGAAACGCAGCACTTCACTTGATGATGAATGTTACTGTAGGCAAAGTCAACACATTAAACGACTTCAACTTACAAAAAGAACACTATGATGCGTTCATTTTGGCAGAAATACAGACTTGTTCAGTCATATAATGTAATAAAAATCACTTTCGTTTTCTTCGAGGTAGCAGAAAATTCTCATCTCAGCTATATCCCTCCCCTCCCCCGGT